CTACCCCTCCCTGTACTTTACACCCATAGCTAATGATGGGAGCTATCAATTTATCAAATAGATTTAAAGCTATTCTAATTTTGAGGTTTGAAACAGAATTGAGTATTTATAAATTGGCCTCCAGAGTTTAATTAGGCTTCGATATAAAGCATATATAAGCATGTTCCTAACCCAATAGCCTTAAGACTCTTAACTTAATTCTTAACCAAATACCTAAATGACATAGCAGTCATTGCATCTAACTGCCTTGCTTAGTATTAACTTGATATACTTAACCTAACATCTAACTGCCTTGCCAGTCTTAACTTAACCTAACAGGTTGGTCACAAAAGAAAGAAGGGGGTTTTCTGGCAGTGGTACTTCTCGACGCGTGTAACAGCAGAGATACTTATGGCTCATGCCAAGTCAATTCAAATTCTGCACCTGGACTTATATCTTGCGGAGAAGGCTGGTCGTCAGACGGTCTGGTCAATTTGTCCGAGACCCCCGGGCGTCCCTCTATAACCCAAGAAAATTCAAAGGGTTCAAATTGTTAAAAAAGTTAAATGAAATGATAGACTTTCCCGCATGCACAAAAACATAGAGCTGTTATTTTAGAAGCATTCATTTTCGTGCAAATTAGAAAAAACACACGGGTAAGATTCCCCATGGATTCCCCCATAAGGACCAAATGTCACACACTGTCCCGAATGACAGTTGCGAGTTTCCGTTTCGCAAGTGGTGGCATTGTTTACATTATGACAACATCCCGTAATAACCTGGACTCAATCAACTGTTCGTTTCTTACAGTTTGACACATCACAGTGGAAGGACTTTACAATACATGACAAAGTGATACAAATTAGTCCGCCTTTTAAAAAATAGTGTTCATCAAAAAAAAGGACCTTCGAGCGTGATAAAATGAAGAAAGAGTGTATACACCCGACGCATATCTACATCCACTCTAAAAACAATACTATATTGCTGAAATGGGCGTTGTCCTTGACGTAAATTAGGTCAACGTCATCGATACACGGTAGGATACTCACTGAATATTTCTTTTATTATTTACATGTAAAGCACAATACAGTTGGAAAAGCTTTTGGTGGTAGGTGACATGTTTTTTGTTTGTTTTGCTTTTTTTTTGTTTTTAATTTTCACAGTTGAGGTGAAATTAGCATTGTACTATCGAGCACCACAAACATAATTCGGAACAGTCACGTGACTGAAGACCAACTCGGATTAATAAACATAAATTTGAGCATTTGTTTCAGTATTGCAACCAATTACCCGCATATTTCACCTGTTGAATGTATTGCTAAATCATCCTACAAGGGAAAATAAAATAATTTTGATCATTTGCTATCAAAAATAGTACAATTTTTTTTTTCTCATAGGAGTTTCAACCAAATATGCGATATTTTTCCTGATGACGTTGACAGGACGAAGACTCCTGAAAAGCCCAAGGAAGCTGAACATCGATCCGTATGATGCGTATGACATCAGAAACGTCGTGGCGCAATTTAAGAATCTGAAAATACAATAATTTTTACCAGTTTGGCGCTTCAAACAACAGTTTTCACATATTTCAGGCGTGACTTATCCGAAACGTGGCATGATTTTACGGCAAAATGTATTACATTTCATTATGGCCTTATGAAAATTGCGGTTAAAATGTTAATTCCCATAATTGTATAACACATTTCTCAAATACATTTGCTATATACTGAACATACATATAATAAATATTTGTTTTTAATTCACTAAAATATGCACACTAGTCAAAACACGCACGTAGTATATTACTTCATATTTGAATGAAAGTCAACACAAGATTTGAATAAATTAATTAAAAATCTATTTATTTAATCGTACAACGTACTAGGCTAACAGAAATTTAGTGTACATTTATATTATAAACATTGGTCGCCATGACTTCATCAAAAACTAAGTCACATAATCACAATCGACAAATCTAAAAATACCTTACTATATGTTAATATTCAAGGGCCAATTATGACGTCAGAAGATGATGTACAACTATATCTGTAAATATGTATTTACTGTTAATACTAACAAGGCCAACTGTCTATGCCATCTTATCGAATGTATTCGGTGATAAAACACGAAAATTAGCTGGTTCATTAGAAAATAATGGTGGACAGTAATAAAACTAACATAGATACACCAAATATCCTGCTGAATATGGTTGCGGAGCTTGTGGTAGTTTCCGGTGCCTCCGTTGTGTTTTGGTGCGGTGCGACGGTGCTATTCTGTACTAAACACATATACTATATCACAACTATCTCATGTGGTGTCACGCAAGACAAGTGTATGTTAGAGCTCTGGTCTATCATACACGTGTTATTTAAGCCACTGCCCATTTTAAGTCATTTTGGGGGAATGAACAATTTTACTGATTTTAGTCAATATTTCGAAATTTCCATTTTAGATATAGACCTTATTTACTGCACAATGAACTTCAAGCACGAATACCACAAATTAAAACTGCAAGTGTGGCCATATCATTTTTTACGCCGACATTTGCTAAGTTATTTACGATCGACGCTAGAGATTCTAAGTACTAATGATCGACTGTTGTCAATTCTGGCTTGCTTTTTTCCAGTTCTCTTTCTATCTCAGAAAATTAAAGTAATTCTGTCGATTGTTTTATATTATATTCAGGTTATATTACAATCATGTCCCCGGATAATTTCTGGAAGACCCGGGTTGACGAACGAGAATCATTAGACCTACTGAAACAAAACACTTCGGTTCGCGAGTTTGTACCCGCAGAGCACATCGGCATGACTCGATCAGTTAGGACGTACCATTTTCTTTTGTTGTCACGCTGGAAATTGTTTTATTCGATCGTGTCCTATATTCCAGCTGTGTTGCTGGAATAACGGTATTTAAATGATCATGATTTTATTTTGGCTAAGTTGCGCACCGACGAGAGACTACCGGTGCCAACATTGTTACAATGTATCCCACGCAAAGTTGAACATTGAATGAATGAACATTGAATACCGTTCGTTCGTTCAGCAAAATTAAAAAGAAAGATAACGTGGAAAGTAATACAACTGTCGACAAAATGCACGAGGTATATTATATTACAACGTGCTTTTAATAAAGTGAAGTAACTTCTGAAGACTGAATGCTCTTTGCAAACTTCGTATCCGGTTTTAAATCATAAACCGACGTTAGCTTCACGCGCATGTCCTACCATGGCAACACCCGAAAAATTGTGTTGTTTTAGCGGAGCGGATGAAAAAAATTGTATTTAATTCAGTTAGTGTAGAGTTCTAACAAAAACAAAAAACACGCGTATATAGTTTGAACTGCATGTTAAAGGCGGTGGTCGTCGCACCGCGTTCTGTTCGATATGGGACTTTTGGCGACGTATACAACGCGTGTAAAAAACATTGTTTATTCACATAAAATTCGAACACGCGCTGCGCGACGACCACCGCCCTTTAAAATAGAATTTGAACTTTGCAGTGAAAGCAAATCAGTGATCATACTTACATGTAGATGGTTCGCTGACAAAAGATTTATGTGTGTTTCTTTGACAAGTACGAAGTGATACACAGCCCAACACGATACATTATTGTTGTGCTCATATTAGGCAAATATCCCTATT